CTCAGTCTTTGGGAATAATCCATGAAACTACTCCACCATATTCACCTGCATCTAATGGTGTAGCAGAAAGGAAAAATAGAACTTTAACTGATTTAACAAATGCTATGCTAATTGAAGCAGGTGCTCCTTCAAATTTGTGGGGAGAAGCAATTTTAACTGCATGTTATGTCATGAACAGAGTGCCACATAAACAAACAAAAGTTACACATTTGAGTTGTGGAAAGGACATAAGCCAAATTTGAGATATTTGAGGGTTTGGGATTGTCTAGCTTTTGTTAGACTTGTGGACCCTAAAAGACCTAAATTAGGTGTGAAAGCTGCCACTTGTGCTTTTCTTAGATATGCAACAAATAGTACAGCCTACAGATTTTTTGATATGGAAAACAAAATAATTTTTGAGTCAGGTGATGCAATTTTTCATGAAGAAAATTTCTTTTAAATCTAAAAATGGTGGAGGTCAAAATTATCAAGAAAATATTTTATCTGAAATCGGTTCCTCTACTCCTCTTTTACAAACCAAGATAATGTAGTTTTTGAACCAAGAAGGAGTAAAAGAGCCAAATTAGAAAAAGATTTTGGCCCTAATTATCATGTTTTTAATGTGGAGGAAACTCCATTAACTTTACAAGAAGCTTTGGCATCTCCTGACTCTGTTTTTTGGAACGAGGTTGTAAATGATGAGATGGAATCATTATTATCCAATAAAACTTGGGTATTAGTAGATTTACCTCCCTCTAGGTTGTAAAACTATTGGCTGTAAATGGATTTTGAGAAAAACAACTTAAACCGGATGGAACTATTGATAAATATAAAGCAAGGCTTGTTGCAAAAGGTTTTCAACAACAAGCAGATCTTGACATTTTTGATACATTTTCTCCGGTTACTAGAGTTACATCCATTAGATTATTAATTGTAGTGGCTATAATTCATGATCTAAAAATTCATCAAATGGATGTTAAAACAGCTTTTTTAAATGGAGACCTGGGTGAAGAAATCTATATGGATCAACCTGAGGGTTTTGTGGAACCCGGTCAAGAAAGCAAAGTGTGCAAGCTAGTTAAATCCCTATATGGCTTAAAACAGACCCCTAAACAGTGGCATGAGAAATTTGATTCCTGCATGATTGAGAATGGCTATAAAACGAATGAATGTGATAAATGCATCTACATAAATCTGAAGAAAATTCACATGTCATTATTAGCCTCTATGTGGATGATTTACTTATATTTGGCTCTAATTTGCATATCATCGTGGAAACTAAAAATATGCTTAGTAGCCATTTTGATATGAAAGATCTTGGTGAGGCTAATTATATTTTGGGAATGAAAATTACTAAAACCTGTGATGGTATATTTCTTGATCAGTTGCATTATGTTGAGAAAATTTTGAGAAAATATAATTTTTATAGTTGCAAGCATGTTCTTACTCCTTTTGATCCTCATGTGCATTTATTTCCTGTTGAAAATGATGAGGATGTAGTTAATCAAAAGGAATATGCTCGTATGATTAGTAACTTGCGTTATGCGACTGACTGTAGTAGACCTGACATTGCCTATGCAGTTGGAGTACTTAGCAGGTTTACTAGCAAGTCTGGCAGTGATCACTAGCTAGCCATTGATCGTATTATGAAATATTTATCTGGTACCATAAAATATGGCTTGTTTTATAATAAGTATCCTGCAGTACTTGAAGGTTACAGTGATGCCGATTGGAATACCTTGTCAGGTGATTCATTATCAACCACTGGTTACATATTTACATTGGGAGGTGGTGCTATAAGTTGGAAATCAAAAAAACAAACCATTATTGCTAATTCAACAATGGAGGCTGAGCTTATTGCTTTAACTATAGCTAGTGAAGAAGCAAATTGGTTAAGAGATTTGTTAAATGAAATCTCTTGTTGGGAAAAACCGATTCCACCTATATTGATTCATTGTGATAGCACCGTAGCAATTGGTCGAGTTAATAACCGTTATTATAACGGTAAACCCAGACCTATTAGAAGAAAACACAGTACTGTGAGATCTTATATGAATAATGGCATCATAAATGTGGATTATATTAAATCTGGTGATAATCTTGCAGATTCAATAACTAAGGCCTTAGTAAGAGATAGAGTCTGGAATACATCGAGGGGGATGGGGTTGAAGCCCATTGAATATAGCAGGAGCCATGTATGAGGATACTCAACCCAGGGACCAGAGATCCTGTAATTGGGTTCAATGAGAAAAACGATCATATGATAGCCGTGAGAAATGCACCAAATTACTTTTTACCCATCCCTATGATGTAAGTGCATTTATCCTGTAACGTTGTAGAGGTTGAGTTATTAAAAAAACTCTTAATGAATTTCTGTAGCTCTTATTGAGTGGGGTGTCATAGTTACAGGAGGACCCTTGACAAAATTCACCTATGTGAGTGTGGTAGTGGGGCCGCTACCTATGAGATTTGGGCTAATTCTCTAATACACTCATGAATCCTGGGATCACACAAGGCCGTAACGTGCTGGCATTTAAAACTTTTGTGAACACCTGGAATATTATGTGTGTGCAATAATTATTTATTTCCCTTAAGTAGTCATAGTTCAATGCTGAGCATACTATTGGCTCTAGAATAGATATTATTGTTTCACTAATGGAGGTTCAATGCAGAGCACACCTACCATAATGCATAATATCCTTATTTGCCTAATAATTTCAGTTTTTGTTACCTATAATATTAAAATAGGTGGGGGAATGTTAGCAGGTATTTTAATATTATAATGATCTTCCGAGCTCCAAGATAAGTCATTGCCTAGTCTTTGCTAGCCTTATCCATCCAAGTCTTTGCTAGCCTTATCTATCCAAGTCTTCTCCAAGTCTTTGCTAGGCTTATCCATCTAAGTCTTCTTCAAGTCTTCTCATTCCTATCCATTCCAAGGTCTTGGTCAAGTCTCTTGTTATCATATCCACCAAGAACCTTGCTTATTAAGTTTTCTTTTCTATATATTTTGAACATATGTCATATCTTAAATAGACATGAGAGAAGAAGTTTTTGTTCCTTAGAAGTTTTGTTCCTTTGTTATGTCTAGTGTGAGATTATCAGGCAAATAAAAAGGGTGTGTGTGATAAAGCTTTGGGTTCAACCAATTGTGCAGTATTGGTTAACCATACGACTTAGTCAGGCTGTTGTATCCTGGGGGGGACAAGTCAAGGTTTTTTCTGCTGCACCGGTGTGAGGCTTTGCCTAACCGCAGAGGACTTGAATCTCCTTAAAGAGAGCGATTTTCCCGCGCCTCAGCCCTTATATTAGTCATTGTAACTTTTATTTTTTGTAATTTCTGGTGTTTATTTGTAATTATCACCAACATCTGTCATCAAACCCATTTCAAATCTAACAAATCTAGCCCAAAAATCACATACATATAAATATACATATATATATATATATATATAACAGCAAGATGCTAAAATAGACCTCCATTTCAAATCTAACAAATCTAACCCAAAAATCACATACATATATATAACTGCAAGATGATATATAACAGCAAGATGATGAAATAGACATCGTCGTCGCCGCAATGTTGCCTTCCCTCCATCAGATCGCCGCCAGACTTACCGTCGGCTGCAATCCTTTGCGTTGCTCCTTCGCCATCACGCTGCTCCTCCATCTTCGTCATCTCTTTCGTCTCTCAGTTCCTCTCTCAGTTTGCGTTCGTTTCTCCGTCACTCTCTCAGTTCCTCACTTGCCTCTTGCGATGCCTCTCTCTCTCTCTCTCTCTCTCTCTCTCTCTGTGCTAGGGTTCATTGCCTCAGATCGATGGTGCAAAGAGATGATACAGAGGAGAGAAAATGGAGGAAATGAACATTTTGAATATTTTTTTTAAAAAAAAAAAACCACTAAACAAAACGACGTCGTTTTGTAGACCATCGCAAGAACCACAGCAGGAAAGTATGGCAGATGATCTGGACTCGTTTTGCTTCTGTTTTGGGTTTCGCAGGAACCACAACAGGAAAGTATGGTAGATAATCTGGACTCGTTTTGCTTCTGTTTTGGGTTTTCTTATAATGTTTTCTCTATTCAAAATCTATATTATATATTAAGCAAAAAGGGATTTTTAACTCCAAGCCTTGTGGGAGTTCCAATCTCCCAATCTAAATTTCTTGGTTTTTTTATTTAAAAAAAAAAAAAAAACTTAGCATTTATTAACTTTTCCCAACTCCCAAGTCTTACCCTCATAATAATACTTTAATGCATTAAGAACAAATATAAAAAAAATTCTTTGAAATCCAACACATATGAATTCTTTGAAAAATACCAACACATATGATTATTATCTCTCATAATAACACTTTAATGCATTAAGAACAAGTATAAAAAAAAATTTCTTAAAAAGTCCAACACATATGATTATTATCAAACTATTAAACTTTAATATAATATAAAAAAGAAAAAAAAAATATTTAAAAATCACAATTTACATATATAAATAATTGTAAACACAATCCGCACATAATAAGGGTGATATGCTAAGTAATAAACTATAACAAATATAAAAAGTGTACAACGGTGGTATAACACGGTATAACGCTCCTTGCTTGCTTGCTTTCTAACGTTTTGCCAAGAGACAAATGAAACCGCTTGGTTGTCTACAAATTTCCAACATCGGTGCTGTGCTGGACTTCTGTGCTGACCTCTTCATCAATTCGTGCCACCTGTATCGTTGCTGCTGAGGCGGTGGCTTCTCACCCAGGCTTGTTCCTGTAAATTGTTCAATTTCATTGCTGCAAATCACTATCAGTTTTATGAAAGAAACAGAAGAGGTATGCTCTTCTTTTATTTTCATTTTTCAGTTGCTGTTAAATATGAGACATGTATTCATTCTTCCATTGTCACTATTATTGTTGTTGTTGGTAGTGTGTTTGTTACTGTTTTATTATTATTATTATTATTATTATTTTTTTTTTTATCTATGCTTGTAATTGTTATTGTTTTCCATCCTCTTCCTCTTGTCTATTATGCAATTATTTCTAACTTGTCTATTTCGAGCTCTGCTCTGCTCTTGTTCCTCACAACTGTGTAATGGTGTGCCCACCATGTGCTCGACCATATGCCGAAATGAAACACACACATAAATTGACAATCAGATGTGAAACTTTTTATCCTCCATGTACTTGACCATATGCTTAAACGAATAAACACACAGAAATTAACAATGAGAATGTGAAATTATTTTCCCAAATTGAAAAAAAAATCCCAACATATTATTCACCAAATGTTGGGGAAAACTCTGGGTGTACATAGACAGCTCTGTTTTTTTTCTTTTGCTTGTCTGCTTGGCCTTTGGCCTCAATTGCACTAAAAGCAAAAATGAAAATAAAATAATGTGCTTCTAAACAATCAAACTTACTGACTTCATAGTGATAAAAGCTGAAATTCTAAGTATAATAACATTCATATCTAATTCAAGCAGATGAGAGAAAGTTTTCGTTAAAGGTTTCGTGAGCTTTAGCTTTTGCATTTCTGTCCTTAATTTCAGGTTTCTTTTCTTTCTCTCAAATGCAAATTTGTGGGGACGATTACACTTTATGGCAGATGGCAATCTCTTTTATCATTTTCATTTGAATTTCATACACTTGTGAGTTTGATAAATGCTTTTTAGTTCTTTCCTTTTGCTTCTAAGCTTTTGATGATAATCATACTCTTTTTATAATTTCTGACTTTAAAGTTTGTTCATACTAAACAGCCATAAACTGGGCGCAGGAGCAACCTCCAAAAAATGAATATTCATCAAACACACCGTAATTTGATAATTAAATAATTTGTTTTTCTTAAAAGTTAGGATTGATATCTTCATGTAATTTTGTGTAATTAAAAAGTACGATAAAATTTGGGATGGTTGGGGTTGGGGTGATTTGGCTTCTCTAGAAATTTTTTCATACTTCTAATGTGGATCCTCTTCTGGGATGGATGGATGGCTGGCTAGATAATCATGAATCATGATCATGGTGGGATCTGTGCAAAGTGGTGTTAGGGACTCTTGTGATGAGGTGAACAAAATTATCCTGATTTCATCCAAGAAAGAGGATTGTGAATTGGTCATTGGGCTCCCCTTTGCTCTTCTTGCTCTTTTCTTTTCTCTGATGCAAAAAACCAAACAGGTAATAGCAAAAAGCACATCCCCTGTAATCTAATAAAATCAATGTAATTTACCCATAAAAATAGTTATACTCAGTTCATCCTCACCAAATTAGATGAAATAATTCTCTGAATATTTATTGACGACGAATTAAGCCCCAATGCTTGTGCTACAATGCAGGCCTTCTATGTTGCAGTTTAGCCTCTTTACCTCACTCTCCCATGGTTACATCTATGTCAAGTAGATGGCTACATACATACATGATTTTTAAAAACCTAGTTCTCTCTCTTTTAGAATTTTCAATTTATGTGATTCTCTGATTTAATATTTTTTTTCCTGAATCCAGTCAATACAGATCAATCATCTTTACTAATAAAATGAAAGAAAGTTTAATTTTATTTTATTGGTTTGATATAGTGTGTATGTTGTTGGAAATGACTACGGATTACTGAGAGTAATTGTTGAAGCATATAGGAAAAAGAATTATTGATTGAACTTTTTGATATGAGTGATCTTTTTCTATGATGTTAGTTTTTTAATTTGTTATTGGCAGTGAGGATTATTTTACAGTTCAAATGCCAGTTTTGCTGCAGAAAATTCTTGATTGAAAGAGCTGTTATATACTCTGAGCCTTGACATTTTATGGAATTTTTAAATTTCCCTTTGTGTATACATATTTGAGAAATGTGCCTTGTGTTTGCGTAGTTTTCCATTCATATGATATTCTCCCTTTGTTATTGAATTCTTATCACTTATTTATTTATTTTGGGGAGGTTGTTAAAAGGCCGTTGGGGGAATGATATAGGTGTCATAAATTTGATTTATAAGGGCAAAAGTTTGTTAGTTAGAATAATAGTTTACCTTGGAGAGATTTGTTTTTATCGATAAAGTTTTTTTCTTTGTTTATCAAAAAAAATAAAAATAAAAAAATAAAATTTTAAGTGTTTGGGGCCTTGGTTTTGTCAAATATATCATTGTTCATACCTATCCAAATAGTTAGTTAAAAAGGCTTGCATAGTATTGTTGTTGACAATATTTATATTTATAGTGATATATATATATATATATAAATATTGAGTCTTGTAGCAGATGAGGAAGAATTTTATGAAAGACTATCGAATTCAAGATCAATGTTCTTTCATCCATCTAATCTGCATCTTCCTCTTTATTTGATTCCTCACCCATTTTTGATTGGATCACAATACTTTCACCGACTTGCATTAAAGAGAAGCATGAATTTTGATACAGTTTTGTTTGTTTTCAGTCAAGAAGAGAGTTGAGTACAACTCACCTTTTTTCTTGTTACTCTTTCACTGTAAATGAACAACACCCAACAGATTGGTTTCCAAGAAAGAGTTCAACAAAACCATGGCTTGGTCTATGATTATAGCAGTTTAGAACACGCCAACCAATCTTCCCAATTTCCTGGTGGTTGTCAAATGGGAATTTGCATTGATTCATCATCAGCCATGGAGGGAGGAGGATCACAGCAGCACAACTTTGGTTGTGGTGGGCATGCTAATTCATCAAGTACCATCATGAGTCGTATCTCGGTTCACCATCTTCTGCTTTTTTTGCAACTGAGCGTTACATGGGCTTTCCACAATATGAGTATCAATCTGGAAATCCCATTGTGCCCTCCCAACAACCCGAGAATTATGATCTGCATACTCCATCATATCTATCTACAGGGGATAGTTTTTATTTCGATACGCCAGAGCAAGAAGACCCCAATTCGCAGTCCAAACTTGCCCTGCAATCTGATGCAAAATCCCACTTTTGTAGCAATAAAAACTACAGTTCTGAAAAGATCCTATAAAACTCCATGCAACAATTTCTCAGAAACAGAACACATTTTTCTGCTGAAAAGAAAGTTGCTTAGTGATTTTGGTAATTCAGATATGAGGCAGCCTTCAATTCCTTTTGAAAGAAATCGGGATCTTAGTGTAAGTCTTTTTTTATAACTTCGCGTTCAATGCATTGATTCATGTATGGTGTTCATTTATTTTATTTTATTTTTATTGGTAGCTATGTTTGGGTGCTTGGAAAATTAATTTGGCATCTTTTTTACTTCATTTTCTTATGTTTTCTCTTTTCTTTTCCTTTACCTCCACAACCCATGATCCAAAAAAAGGGATTAATCTCATCCTGGTTATATGTATGTATACATGACAGGTTTGTCACAATTTGTATAATTCTCAGCATGAGCATTTGAGGCAGTCTGCAGCTAGACCTGCTGGAGGTGTTTCAGTTACTTCTGGTAACACTGGATCAGCCATTTCAAGTAAAACACAAATTCGATGGACTCAAGATCTTCATGACCGCTTTGTCGAGTGTGTAAATCACCTCGGTGGAGCAGAAAGTGAGTAGCTTTGACATGACCCCTTTGTGCAGGTATAGAAACAACTATTATTAATTGATCATTAACCCTTTTTTTCAATCAAAATTTTAGAGGCAACACCAAAGGCGATACTGAAGCTAATCGACTCAGAGCGGTTGACCATCTTTCATGTGAAAAGCCATTTGCAGGTACTAATAACATTTTAAAGAACTTTGTTGTTTAAGCCCTGTTTGGTATCTTGATGTTAGAGATCTAACATGATTGTTTGCCTTTCTTTTTCCATTTGCTTTGTAGAAATATCGAATTGCAAAGTACATGCCAGATTCTGCAGAAGGTAAATCTAATCCTGAATAACACTAATTGATCATTGAATTGATTTTGATCATTTGCAATAGTGTACTAAAATCTGATCTTAAGAACATATATAGGGCCTGTTTATTACAATTTATTCGAACTTGAAAAAATAAAAAATTCATAAGCGGCATCAATAAGTGCGCCAAACAGGGCAATAGGGCATTCCACAAAATTAAATCATGTCATGTATTGTTCTGATGAGAAGAAACTCCTCAAATATATATATATACACACACTTGCAATTAGATGTGAATTATTATGCTGTTTTCCTCAATTTGTTCGATTAATTATGCATTTCATCTACTTTAATTATATCAAACACATCAATCACGCGAGTCTAGGAATAAATTCTAATAATCTCAATCTTTCTTCCTTCTTCAACTGCAGGAAAATCTGAGAGGAAGAATAACATGAATGATGCAGCACAGATTGATATAAAAGCGTAAATTTTCAAAGAATCGCTTGTTTTTATTTGTTTGACATATTGTTGAATGGCATTAGTATTTTATTTGTTTGACATGATAGCTTTTTAATTATTATTATTTTTTTTTCCTTTTAATTTGCTTAGTAGGCTCACATTAGATAGTTTGAGGAAGAAGTGGAACTTCTTCACAACCTGTTAGTAAAAACTGTTATATAATTGTTGCTTCATTTCGTTTGAGGCTTTTGAGTATTAAGGTGTGTTTGGCTTCAGTCAAACTGTTGTAAATTGTTGCTTCATATTGGTGTTTTGTCTCTTCATTCACTCTAGAGAGGTGGCTTTTGTTTCTATTTGATAAAATAATTTGAAAAGTTTTTGTTTTGAATCTGCAGGTGCTGGCTAACATGAATAGAGTGTCTAATTTAAATAATCTAAATAGTAAAGTAAGCTATCTATTTTACTCTTTTATTTACAATATGCCAATTCACATGATGCATATGGGAGAGAAAGTGGGTATAACATTTTATACTGCTTGGCCTTGGAAAAGAAAGGGCTATAACTGTTGGTTACAATTGGTTCTGAACACTTTCTCATGATTAGAACCTGCGTCAACATGTTGTTTTTTCATCTCCTTTAGCACAAATGCATATCAATCTATCATATGAAGATGGCATTAATAGACTACAAGATGATTTTGGCTTGTCTTGTAGGTAATGGGACTGACATGGGGCATGTGGTATGCAACTATCTTCGGTATACATCAAAAAGTTATCCTTGGGGCTGATGTGTTATATGATACAAGTGGTAGGATTATTTTTGTTGAGCTACTGTTTTTTTTCCTTCTTTTGCTCCATTAAACTGAAGATGAGATGTATATTGTGCATATATTGGCAAGGCTTTGATGATCTCTTTGCCACTGTGACATTTCTACTCCAAAATTCTCCAGGATCTGTTTTCATAACAACCTATCACAATAGAAGGTATTTTTCATATATTTCATACTTTAACCTTATTTTGTGTTGGCAGTTTACATTTCAACAATGTGAATCTTTGAATTTTATTAAAAATGTATTATGTATTTATATATTTGTTTTGTTTTGTTTTGTGCAGCGGGCATCATCTAATTGAGTTCTTGATGGCGAAGTAGGTGTTGAAGTGCACGAAACTTCTTGATGGCTTTTTATGTATGCCATCATACAAGGCATCTGGGTTGGCAGAAATTGTTTTGAATAGTGAAGAGGTGAGGTAACATATGCCAAAAATTAGCAGTAAAAAGTTGAATGGTGACACAGCCTCTCTGATTTTTAACCTTGTTCCATAGCGGTATGTCAATTAGTTCAAATTGTATTTTTGGTATATGTCATTGGTTTTGAATTCGAATTTGTTTGCCGTATTTTTTTTTGGTTAGATTTGAGGTTTTTATGTTATTTGATTGCCCGTGAAGATATTGTCCATGTTTTTTGGATTTTTATTTTTATTTATTTATTTTTTTTTTTAAGATTTGAATTGATGACAATTTAGACTTCTTGATGACAATTTTGCTCCTCCAATATCCACATACACATTAATGCAATATGTGAATGTGTAGTTTAGCAAGCAAATCCTTGACCCCACTACACTAATATATTGTTCTTATATTTTATCAACAATTAATCATATTTGTATCTTTGTCTCTATATAGCCCATGAGCATAGCTCTTCTGATATGGATGGGATTCATTTATCTGGAAAATTAAAAAAAATAGAGTAACAATTACTAATTTAATCTTGATACACTACGTCATGACCCCCACGCGTCCAACTAGTAATAACAAAAAGAACGCTAACTTGAAATGAGATATATTTATTGGGAAATTGCAAATCAGTTAGAACATCTCCATTAATTCACTAAATTTTTCATGATTTTAAATTTGAGTAAAAAACTTATGAGCCTCTCTAAGATTTTCATTAATTTTTTTTTCAAATTTCACTTTTTATCATTTTTGTTTGAAAAAAAACTCAACTCTAACATTATCTCTAATGTTGCATTAGATCTTTCATAAAATTCAAATTATATTTTAAAAAAAAAAAATTGCCTTAAAATTGAACTTCAATGCTTTCATCAAATTGATATCAAATGAAGGGTGAACCAAATCTTTCATCAAATCAAGGGAGCTTTTATCCTTCATCAAATTTTGCAAGTAGCCATTGGGCCGGACGTCCTCCCGGACAATCGAGCTTTCTTTATTTCAACGTCCATTTTTACTCATGGTTGGACATCTGCTTACCTTCTCAACAAACTAGCTTGTACCAAGATTTGATAAAAAAAATTGAATTTACCGTTGGAGTTCATCATATCAAATCAATTTTTTCATCAATTTTAAACTCAAATTTGATAAAATTTTGATGCAGCATTGGAGATGCTTTAACCCTTCATCTTTTAACAATTTTATCAAACTTAAGTGGAAAAAACTTGTTGAAAATCTAGTGGAAGATTTGGTTCATCCTTGATTTGATGAAAACTTTGCTTCTCTCTTGATTTGAAACAAGTTTGATGAAAGGATTGGACTTCATTTTCACCAAAACTTTCATCAAACTTAAATTTGATGAAGGATTTAATGAAAGATTGGAGATACTCTCAGAAGATCCAAAAAATTGTAAAATTATGAAAAAGTTAATCACTTTAATAATTAAAGTGGGTAAGTTTTACCATTGCATTGTAATTTATTTTTTCTATGTATTTATCTCTCATTTTGAAAATGAAAATTTTTCTTAAGACTTTTAAGATGTATATTTTGTACTCGTAGAATAGTCATTTAGTACTAGTAATAGTATTGACAAGTTTATCAAAGTGATAAATTACTAAGGCATTTTAACTTTTGTTGTGAGTTTTAATTTATTTTTAAGTTATTTGTGTTAGTATGTATTAAAATAAAATATAATATGAAAAAGTGTAAATAATGGAATTATATTTTTTAATTTTTTTATAATGATTTATCATTGAAATATTATTAAATAAATTGGATCTATAGGATTGCCTGTAACTGTCTCTAATTTTAATCTAGCACATTCACATGCAATTAATTCATTTTTTCTCCAAAATACACCTCACAAAACTATGAGGGTGTGTTTGTTTTGAAGGATTAGAGTGTGAGATTGGACTATTAATCTCACCGGACTAATAATCCATTGTTTGTTTCAATTTTTTAGCTCCGGACTAATAGGTTATCCGGACTATTAGTCCCATATTTGTGGGACTATCCTATCCCATGGGGGGGTGGGATTATTTCCAAGGGATTGGTATCCCATGGGATTAGGTTCTGAAATGTCCATTTTACTCCTATGCTATTACTTAGCAAACAATTAGAAAATGATAAAATAGTCTTTTGAACATTTATATATTATTTTTTTAGAATTGTTAATTTAAAATTATATGTTAAATAAAAAATTTAAATTATAAATTTAATTTAATTAAAAATAATAAATTAAAATTATGGTCTTATAAATTAAATTTTTTTAGTGTTGTTAAAAAATTAAATTTACATATTAAATAAAATTATTTTTTTACTGTTGTTAATTTAAAATTATATATTAAATAAAAAAATATAAATTATAGATTAAATTTATTTAAAAATAATAAATTATAAATTATGGCCTTATAAATTAAATTTTTTTAATGTTGTTGAAAATTTAATTTATATATTAAATAAAATTATTTTTTTATTGTCGTTATTTAAAATTATATATTAAATAAAAATATAAAATATAAAATATTTTTTATTGTCGTTAATTTAAAATTATATATTAAATAAAAAATATAAATTATAAATTATAAATTTAATTTAATTGAAAATAATAAATTAAAAATTAAAAATTATGGCCTTATAAATTAAATTTTTTTAGTGTTGTTAAATTATAAATTATAAATTATAGATTACAAATTTAAAATTATATATTAAATAAAAATTATAAATTACAAGGGTAAAATAATTTTTTGAACATTTATCCTTATCCAGTCCGTCTAACAAAATATTGGATTCACTAAAAATAGTCCAATCCAGACATCTAATCCCATGACTAAACAAACATAGGATACAAATCCAATCCAATCAAATAGTCCGGAGACAATATATCACGGGACTAATAATTCGATGAATTATAATCCTCCCTTATCTAATCTGTCCAAACAAACACACCCTCAATTGACTAAGATTTTTTACTTTTTCCAGTCTTCAATTCAAGTTTTAGTTTTGAAATTTTCAGAATTGAGATTTTTTCTTGGTCCTGTTATATCCTGGTTTGTTTGGGCCTAAAAGTGTTTCACCAAATGTTTGGGGCCCATTCTATGCAAATTACTTTTTTGTTAGTTTGGAATTGAGTGAGTTTTTTTAAAATGGAGGAGGATCCTCTCCGGTTAAAATTTTAGATTGGACAATCTTGTTTGAGTCTATGGGGCCTACATTTCAATGATTTGAATCGTTTATTTTGTCGAGTACTTCGTGTATTTCATCCATAAAAAAATTAGGTCAATCTGATAATTGTAACTTGTTCGATTTATTGCGTTTATTATTAAAAAAATTGTACGGTTTATTTTTAAGAACACAATTGTTGTCAATTTTTTTAGTGAAAAATTAAACAAGTTACAATTATCGGATCGACCTAATATTTTTTAGAATGAAATAAATGAAATACCTAACAAAATGAACGGTTTGAATCATCACACAGGCCCAAACAATGCCCTCCAGTCTAAAATCTAGATTGGAGGGGATCTTTTTCCTTTTCAAATTGAGTAATGTTAGGAACTCCAAATGTTTGACCAACATTTTCACCAAATTTCTCACATGGCCAAATTTCTCCTTTAGGTGGGACAAAAACTTATACGTTCTATATAGAAGTGGGTGCAATAGAAAATGTATAATCTTTTAAAGCTCTTTTAATATAAGGACATAAGATAACAAGATACTTTTTTTTTATTTATTTACTAGTACCTACAAAAAGATTGTTTGAATATAATTACTAAAATTTACTTGCATAAATTAAGATTCGAAAAACTAGTGATGCATCCCTAACCACAAGTCTAAAAGAGTTGGGATCTTACTTAAAAATATTTGGTAGCCAAGGTCTCTTCGTTTTTATACTTTGAAAGGATAAATCTTGTCTATGTATTCCTCTAAAAAAAAAAATTATGTCCGATTTACCCTTACACACAACAACCAAAACCAAGGAGAAGAAAAATGAGCTGACATTGATGAGATGAACTCTCTCACCGTCATCGCTCTCTGCTTTTTTATCTTGGGTTCGTTTGGAAATCAGTTAAAAAATTACATTTTTTTAACTCTTTGCCTTTAGGGATTTTTTTTTAGTTTCTGTTAATTTTTTTTTTCTTTTTCAATCCAACTAGTATAGAAAAATCTAAAAAGTAAAAAAATTAATTAATTAATTAAAAAGTTCACCAAAGTTAAAAAGCCAACTTTTTTTTACTTCTTTTTTTTTTTAGGAGAAATAACAAATCAATGGTACTTTTGGACAATAATTATAGTTTCGTGATAAACTTTATAAACTTTAATGAATCAAGGTGACAGAGTTGCACAAAAAACAATATCATGTGTAGTACAATTATTTTGTAATTGTCTCATTTATTTACAATTTTCCCTTGACTTTTCATACACATATAACAAGAAGACTTGCTATGAAGATTTCTTTACCAACAACACATTCAAGAGGTGGGACTGTTGTGCAAGGTAAAGAACGGTAACAATGGTTGTGATCAGTAGAGTTTTTGCAATGTTAAATCTAATTAATAAATATGTCTAATTTTGTTTTCTTCTCTCAAATCCCTGCATCAAGGTACATATATATAGGTATATCTGGTGTGTATATCAATAGGTGATTATGTGTAAATTTCTTTTATGTGTTGTTTATTGTGGCTTTGTGACTCTCAAGGGTTTTTCATTTCATGTGGTTGTTTGATTTGAATTGGCAAATTGCTTCAAGGAATCATAATCACTTTTTTTCTTTTTTACTTTTGTTAGTAAAATTTCACTCGCCTCATTGTTGAAAATAGCAAAGTCAAATGAAAATTTCATCAAAATCATTAATTATTATTTCATATTCATCTTAGGTTTTATTTGATAGATATCAACAAGAGGACTCTGAAAATGTGAATAGAGAATTTTTGTGTTGACATAGTAAAAACACAATGATATTTCTCTGTGTTCGACATAGTGAAATTTTAAGTTTCACAATTAGCCGCAGTCAATTTTAATTTGTT